GTAAAGTCGAAAATCTGTACCATTGAAAGAAAAATTAAAACTCAAAACATTGAAAATCGAATAACTGAACAAATTTAAAATCCAATAATTAAAAACTAGAAAAATTCTAAAATTGTAAAATTGAAAAAGCGAAAAACTGAAGAAACAGAAAATTGAAATCCCAAAACTAAAAAATTCACACTCAAAAAAAAAAAATTAAATCAGAACATTGAAAAACCAAAAAATTGCAAATCGAAAAATGGAAGAAATGAAAAATTGAAAAATCGAAAAATTGAAAAAATTAAAATTAAAAAGTAAAAAATTATAGTATCGGAATATTGAAAAATCGAAAAAATTGTAAAAATAAAAATACAAGAAGCCGAAACGAAAAATTATAATTCGAAGATTTGAAGGAAAAATTAAAAATTAAAAAAAAATTAAATTAAAAAGTGAAAGTTGGCGAAATTTTGTAAAATCTCAAAATTGATGAATCAAGAAAAATAAAACATGAAAAAATAAAAAATTAAAAAACTAAAAAAACCGAAAAATGGAGAAAATTGAACCGAAGCAACGAAAAATTTTTTTATTCGAAAAGTTGAAAAATGGAAAATTGAAAAATCGGAAAACTAAAAAATCGAAAAAAATGAAATATCAAAAAATTGGAAAGGAGGAAAAACGAATCGAATCAAAAAATTGGAAAACCCGAAAATCGTAAAATCGAAAAATTATATATAGAATCGTCAAAATTGTAAAATCGAAAAGCTGTAACACTGAAAGATGGAAAAATTAAAAATTTAAAAATCGAAACATTTAAAATCAAATAAATGAAAAAATTCTACAATTATTGTAAAGTTGAAATAGTGAATTAAAGAAACAAAAAATTGAAAAATCGGGGAAATGAAAATTCTAGACATAAAAAAATAAAATCTAATAATTGAAAAATTTCACACTTAAAAAAATAAAATCAGAACATTAAAAAAATTGCACCGAAACGAAATTTTGCAAACCGAAAGTTTGAAGACTCGAAAAATTGAAAAATCTAAAAATTGAAACATCCAAATGTTCGAAAATCGAAAACGTGAAAAATTTTTAAATGAAAAATAGAAGAATTGCATGCCGTAAAGTTGAAGAAACAAAAATAAATGAAAGATTGAAAAATTGCAAGTCGAAAAATTGAAGAAACGAAAAATGGAAAAAATTAAAATCAAAAAACAAAAAATTATAACATCGGAGCATTGAAAAATCGAAAAAATTGTAAAAATAAACAGGATAAAAAGCCGAAGCAACAAATTAAAAAACGAAAAAATTTTTAAATTAAAAAAATGAAAATTGGCGAAATTTTAAGATGAAAAATTGTAAAATTGAAAAATTAAAAAACGAAAAATGGAAAAACTAAATTGAAAAATGGCAGAATTCAAAAAATAAAGGAAATAAGGCCGAAACGAAAAATTGAAAATCAAAAATTAAAAAAATGTAAATTGAAAACTTAACTAACTCAAACCAAAAATTGCAAAATCTAAAAATTCAAAAATTCAAAAGTTAGAAAATTGAAGAACAGAAAAATTCAAGTCAAATAGAGGTTATCAGAAAACCAAAATCGCATTTTTTGTATAATTTTTCAAAAAAGCGGGATTTATTGGGCTGCTGGAAAAAAGCCAGGAAATCGATTTTTAAGTTCTTCAATTTTTAATCTTTCGACTTTTCAACTTTCAGTTTTTTCTTGATTTGCAATATTTAGATTTTTCAAAATTTTCGTTTTATGCTTTTTCGTTTTTTCATTTTTGATTCTTCTGTTTTACAATTTTGCAATTTTTCCATTTTTTTTTATTCGATAAGTTGGAAAATGGAAAAATTAAAAAGTCGATAAACTAAAAAATCGAAAAAAATGACAAATCGAAAAACTGAAGAAACGAGAAATTGGAAAATTGAAAAATTGCAAACCCAGGAACTGAAGAAATGAAAGATCAAAAAAAATTATTAATCAAAAAATTGGGAAGAAGGAAAAACCAATAGAATCAAAAATTATAGAATCGTCGAGAAAGATTGAAAAATTAAAAAATTAAAAATTTAAATATTGGAAATCGAATAAATGAAAAATTTTCAAATCCAATAATTTAAGACTAGAAAATTCTACAGTCGTAAAATTGAAAAAGTGAAAAATTGAAGAAACAAGAAATTGAAAAATCGAGGAAATAGAAAATCGAAAAACTCAAAATTTTAAAATGAAAATTCGAAGAATTGCATGTCGTAGACTTGGAGAAACGAAAAATTGAAAAAATTAAAATTAAAAACCAAAAATAATAATATGTATCGGAACATTGCATGCAATTCGAAGATTTGAAGTAATGAAAAATTGAAAATTAAAAAAAAAGATAAAACTGGCGAAATTTTAAATCGAAAAACTGTAAAATCTAAAAATTGAAGCAACAAGAAAAATTAAAAATAGAAATTCGCAAAACGAAAAATGGAAAAAATTGACATTAAAAAAACAAAAAAATCTAAACGTTAAAAAATATAATAATGAAAAAAATAAAGCAAATAAAAATCCCTAAACGAAAAATTGCAAAATCTAAATATTAAAAAAATCAAAAGATGGAAAACTGAAGAACTGAAACATTCGAGTCAAATAGAGGTTATCAGACAACAAAAATCGCAATATTTTTTTAATTTTTCGAAAAAGCGGACTTTTTAAGGTTCTCAATTTTTTATCTTTCGATTTTTCATTTTCTCGAAAAGTTGAAAAATGGAAAAATTCAAAAATCAAAATGCTAAAAAATTAGAAAAAAGGAACGAAAAATCGGAAAATTGAAAAATTGCAAATCCAAGAACTAAAAAAACGAATAATCGAAAAAGAAATAATTATTCGAAAAATTGGAAAGAAGGAAAAACGAATCGAATCAAAAAATTGGAAAACCCTAAAATCGTAAAATCGAAAAATTATAGAATCGTCAAAATTTTAAAGTCGAAAAACTGTAACACTGAATGATTGAAAAATTAAAAACTTAAAAACTGAAACATTGAAAATCGAATACATGAAAAAATTTAAAAGTCCAATAATTAAAAACTGAAAAAACAAAAAATTGAAAAATCGAGAAAATGAAAAATCTAAAATTGAAACAAAATAAAAATCTAATAAATGAAAAATCGAAAATTGAAAAATCGAAAAATTGAAAACTCGTGAAAATCAAAAAATTGCAAAATCAAAAAAAAGAAATCTCCGAAAGTTGGAAAATCTAAAAACTCAAAAATTGTGTAAAAAGAAGAAAGAAACAAATGAAAGATTAAAAAATTGCAAATGGAAAAATTGAAGAAACGAAAAATTGAAAAAATTTAAAATTAAAAACAAAAAATTATACTATCGGAACATTAAAAACTCGAAAAAAATTAAAAATAAAAAAACGAAAAGCCAAAACGAAAAATTGCAATTCGAAGATTTGAAGGAATGAAAAATCGCAAATGGAAAAGTCAAAAAAACGGAAAATGGAAAAACTTAAATTTGAAAAACAAAAAAAAATATTCTAAACATCGAAAAATAGAATAATTAAAAAAATAAAGTAAATAAAAAACCGAAACGAAAAACTGCAAAATCTAAAAATTATAAATTCAAAAGTCGGAAAATTGAAGAACTGAAAATTTCTAGTCAAATAGAATTTATCAGAAAACAAAAATCGCATTTTTTTTCAATTTTTCAAAAAAGCAAGATTTATTGGGTTGCTGAATGAAACCCAATATCGATTTTTAAGTTTTTTCAATTTTCTTTAAATTCTTGATGTACAATTTTTTAATTTTTTAAAGTTTTCGTTTTTTCATTTTCGATTTTTCAATGTTACAATTTTGCAATTTTTCCATTTTTTTAATCGAGAAGTTGAAAAATGGAAAAATCGAAAAAGCCGAAAAACTAAAAAATCGAAAAACTGAAGAATAATTAAAAAAACCGAAACGAAAAATTACAAATCAAAAAATTAAAAAATTATAAATGGAAAACCTGAGAAACTCAAACCAAGGTAAATAGGGTTTTCAGAAAACAAAAATCACATTTTTTTAATTTTTCAAAAAAGCGGGATTTATTGGGTGGCACTTTTATGGTCAACAGTTATTTCGACAGAACTTCCCTCACCCCTGAGGGAAGTTCTGTCGAAATAAGTGTTGACCAATTTTTTAAATGCAATAATAATTATCGTAAGAAACAAACTGACCAACAATAACCACAAAAACTCCATTTCCTTTGACTACTTCGAAATGCTTTTAAGACGGCTCTGTTTTATTTCATCGTTGTTTGAACCAAATAAATTATATTAAAATTCATCGAAACAAAGTTTATATCAAATTAAATGTGAAAGTTTGGATTATTTCCAGCGAAAGTTGTCCATTCTTGCAATGAATCCTTTGTCGCTTTGAATCTCACTCAAATTTTATCCCAGCCGGCAGTGTTTTATTCGACGTTTAATCTAAAATAGTACTAAAGTTACAATAAACACAATCCACATTCTCAAGCAATCGATTCGTCGGTTTCGCATAAGCCAAACCGAAACAATAATCCCACTTCGCAACCCCCACAACGCTCAAAATTACCACTTTTTCCCCGAAACCCGAAAACCCACACACGCTCCTTCCGAAAACAAAACCCCGTCTTTAATAAAACCGCCCCCGCGCCGCCCCAAAAATTAAATTTTTATCACGGCGCGCCACGCACTTTTTCGCAAAGACAACAAAACTAATGAAACCCCGCAGTTAACATCCCCTTTTAGTCGGGCTTTTATCCATAAAATTACACTTTGTCGGCTATTAAACAATACGCCATTGTAAGCACACGTCTTTTAAAACCGTCAACGTCATTATTCACTCGCAGTGCATGAAAGCGTCGGGTGCTTTTTATCGCTACAACTCCTTCAAGCTCCGCGAAACTGGGTCGTAAAAACGACGAAATCGCGATGTTTTGATGTTGGCCTGCTCGGCTGCCGCTGCGGAAATATGTTGAATGGTCGTAAATGCCTCACTAATCACTAATTGGTGGATTTCAGATGGAGAGGCGCAGGCGGCGGCAGCCGGGCGGGGGAGGAGTTTAGCGCGTGGAGTTATAAAATGTGTCCTGAGGTTTCGAAAAGGTAAGGGGGTGGGGATTTTTTACAAATCCAATTTTTTTTATGTTAATTAGTCGGAATTTCGAAATTTCGTGTCGACAATTTTGAGAATCAAATTCAAATTTTCCGATTTTCACTGTTCTCTGGAACGTTTTGTTAATTATTCTTAACTTCAAGATATCGTATTGAACAACCTTGTCAATAATTTCCTCCAGAATCTTAGATTAGTACTAAGATTTTAAAAGTCGAATAATATGTTGAAAAACTGAAAAATCGAAATATTCAAATTCCAAAACTGAAATATCGAAAAATCTAAAACTAAGAGATCGAAAAATCGAGTATTCGAACGGCAAAAAATTCAAAAATCTAAAATTAAAAAACTGTAAAGTATCGAAAAACTACAATATCGGAAAAATTGAAGAATCGAATTATTGAAAAGTCCCAAGACTGAGATATCGAAAAATAGCTAAACTGAAAAATCGAAGAATCCAAAAATTGGGAAATTCCAAAACTGGAACATCAAAAAACAGAAAAAACAATCCAAGAGTTGAAAAACGAAAATTTTAAAAATTTAAAAAATTGAAAAATCAAAATCAAAAACTTGGAAAATCGAAACATTAAAACATCGAATAATCGAGAATTTGAGAAATGGAAAAATAAAAAAAAATTTAAAAACGATAAAATTGGAAATTTAGAAACACCAAAACATGGAAATTTGAAAAATGCAGAAATGAGATAAGAGGAAAATGGAAAAATCGAAACTTTACAATAACTAAAAAATTATGGAAATATTGAAAAGACCCAAGATATTGAAAAAGAGCTAAATTAAAAAATCAAAGAACCCAAAAACTGGGAAATCCCAAAACTGGAACATCAAAAATTTGAAAATCCGAAAAATTGAAATCTCGAGAAATCGAAAAATCAAAATCATCCAAAGAACGAAACATCAAAAAATCAATTGAAAATTCGAAATTTCGGAAAATCGAAAATTTTGGAACGCGAAAAACTGAATATTTTGAAAAATAGAAAATCGGATAACAGAAAAATCGAAATGTGGAAAAGTTGGGAAAACAAAAATTTAAAAAATCAAAAAATTGAAAAGTCAAAATTGAAAATTTGGGAAATCGAAATATCGAAAAGTCAAGAATTTGAGAAATCGGTAAATCAAGAAAATCGGAAAAACGAAAAAATCGAAAATTTAAAAACCCTAAAAATTGACAAATGGAAAAATGGAAAGATCGTATAACAGAAAAATCGAAATTTTAAAATAACGAAAAAATTATCGAAAAATAGCTAAATTAAAAAATCGAAGATTCCAAAAATTGAAAATTCCAAAACTGGAACATCAAAAAATTGAAAAACCGAAAAATTGAAAACTCGAGATCTCGAAAAGTTAAACAATCGAAGACTTGAAAAAACGAAAATTAAAAAAATTTAAGAATCAAAATCAAAAACCTGGAAACTCCAAACATCGAATTGTCGAGAATTTGAGAAATTGGAAAATCAAAATCATCCAAAAAACGAAACGTCAAAAAATCAATTAAAAATTCGAAATTTCGAAAAATCGAAGAAACGAAAAAATCGAAGATTTGGAACGTGAAAAACTGAATATTTTGAAAAATAGAAAATCGGATAACAGAAAAATCGAAAAATGGAAAAGTTGGGAAAACGAAAATTTAAAAAATCAAAAAATTGAAAAGTCAAAATTGAAAATTTGGGAAATCGAAATATCGAAAAGTCAAAATTTGAGAAATTGGAAAATCAAGAAAATCGGAAAAACGAAAAAATCGAAAATTTAAAAACCCTAAAAATTGACAAATGGAAAAATGGAAAGATCGTATAACAGAAAAATCGAAATTTTAAAATAACGAAAAAATTATCGAAAAATAGCTAAATTGAAAAATCGAAGAATCCAAAAATTGAAAATCCCAAAACTGGAACATCAAAAAATTAAAAAACCGAAAAATTGAAAACTCGAGATCTCGAAAAGTTAAACAATCGAAGACTTGAAAAAACGAAAATTAAAAAAATTTAAGAATCAAAATCAAAAACCTGGAAAATCCAAACATCGAATACTCAAGAATTTGAGAAGTTGGAAAATCAAAATCATCCAAAAAACGAAACGTCAAAAAATCAATTGAAAATTCGAAATTTCGAAAAATCGAAGAAACGAAAAAATCGAAGATTTGGAACGTGAAAAACTGAATATTTTGAAAAATAGAAAATCGGATAACAGAAAAATCGAAAAATGGAAAAGTTGGGAAAACGAAAATTTAAAAAATCAAAAAATTGAAAAGTCAAAATTGATAATTTGGGAAATCGAAATATCGAAAAGTCAAAATTCGAGAAATTGGAAAATCAAGAAAATCGGAAAAACGAAAAAATCGAAAATTTAAAAACCCTAAAAATTGACAAATGGAAAAATGGAAAGATCGTATAACAGAAAAATCGAAATTTTAAAAGAACGAAAAAATTATCGAAAAATAGCTAAATTGAAAAATCGAAGAATCCAAAAATTGGAAATCCCAAAACTGGAACATCAAAAAACGGAAAAACTCAAAAAATGAAAACTCGAGAAATCGAACAGTTGAAAAACGAAAATTAAAAAAAAATGTATATTGAAAAATCAAAATCAAAAATCTGAAAAATCGAAACATCGAATAGTCGAGATTAAAAGAAATGGAAAAATCAAAATAATCGAAATAACGAAACGTCAAAAAATCAATTGAAAATTCGAAATTTCGAGAAATCGAAAAGTCGAGAACTTGAGAAATGGGAGAATAAAAAAAATCGAAAAAACGAAAAAATCAAAACCATAGAAACGCCAAAAATTGAAAATTTGAAAAATGGAAAAATTGAATAAGAGAAAACCTGAAAAATCGAAAATTTAGAAACGCGATTAATTGAATATTTTGAAAAATAGAAAATCGTATAATCGAATAATCGAAAAATCGGAAGGTTGAAAAAAACTTCAAAATTTGAAAAATTGAAGATTTGGTAAACTGAAAAATGGAAAATTCGGGAAATCGAAACATCGAAAAGTCAAGAATTTGAGAAATCGGAAAATCACAAAAATCTAAAAAACAAAAAATTGAAAATTTAGAAACGTCAAAAATTGAAAATTTGAAAAATAGAAAAATCGTTTAACAGAAAAATCGAAACTTTAAAATAACGAAAAAATTATGGAAATATTGAAAAGTCCCACGACTGAGATATCGAAAAACCGAAAAATTGAAAACTCGAGAAATTGAAAAGTCAAACTATCGAAGACTTGAAAAAACGAAAATTAATAAAAACGAATCCTCAAAAAATCAGTCCAAAATTCGAAATTTCGGGAAATCGAAACATCGAAAAGTCGAGAGTCTGAAAAATAGGAAAATCAAAAAAATCGAAAAAACAATAAAATCGAAAAATTAGAAATGCGAAAAATTGAAAATTTGAAAAATGTAAAAATCGGATCAAAGAAAAATCGAAAATTTAGAAACGCGATAAATGAATATTTTAAAAAATAGAAAATCGGAAAACAGAATAATCGAAAAATCGAAAGGTTGAAAAAAATGGTAATTTAAAAAATCAAAAAATTGAAAAATCAAAGTCAAAAACTTCAAAAATCGAAAAATTGAAGATTTGGTAAACTCAAAAATTGAAAATTCGGGAAATCGAAACATCGAAAAGCCAAGAATTTGAGAAATGGGAAAATCACAAAAATCGAAAAAACGAAAAAATTGAAAATTTAAAAAATAGAACAATCCTATAACCGAAAAATCGAAAAATCGTAACTTTAAAATAACGAAAAATTATGGAAATATTGAAAAGACTGAAATATCGCAAACTCAAACAATCGAAGAGTTGAAAAAACGAAAATTAAAAACCTGGAAAATCGAGAAAGCGAAACGTCAAAAATCAATCGAAAATTCGAAATTTCGGGAAATCGAAACATCGAAAAGACGAGAATTTGAGAAAGGGGAAAATCAATAAAATTTGAAATGCCAAAAATTAAAAATTTGAAAAATGGAAAAATCGGATAACAGAAAACTCGAGAAAACGAAAATTTAAAAAATCAAACAATTGAAAATCAAAATCAAAAACTTCAATACTCGAAAAATTGAGGATTTGAAAAACTGAAAAATCGAAAACTCGGGAAATCGAAACAACAAAAAGTCGAGAATTTGAGAAATGGGAAAATCAAAAAAATCAAAAAAACGGAAAAATCGAAAACTTAGAAACGCCAAAAATTGAAAATTAGAAAAATAGAAACGCGATAAATGAATATTTTGAAAAATAGAAAATCGGATAACAGAATAACCGAAAAATCGAAACTCTAGAATAACGAAAAAATTGTGTAAATTTTGAAAATTCCCAAGACTGAGATATCGAAAAATAGATAAATTGAAAAATTGAAGATTTCGAAAATTGAAAAACCGAAAAATTGAAAACTCGAGAAATGGAAAGTCGAACAATCGAAGAATTGAAAAAACGAAAATAAAACAAATCATAAATTGAAATTCTAAAATCAAAACCAGGGAAAAGTCGAAAATTTGAGAAATAGAACATCAAAAAATTCGAAAATTTAGAAACGCCAAAAACTGAAAATTTGAAAAATAGAAAATCGGATAACAGAAAAATCGAAAAATCTAAACTTTAAAATAACGAAAAAATTGAGATATGGAAAAATGGTTGAATTGAAAAATCAAAGAATTAAGAAATTGAGAAATCCCAAAAACCTCCTAAACGTCAGAAAATTGAAAAACTAAAAAATTGAAAAATCAAAATCAGTAACTTCAAAAATCGAAAAGTCGAAAATTTGAGAAATGGGAAAATCAAAAAAATCGAACAAACGAAAAAATCGAAAATGTAGAAACGCTAAAAATTGAAAATTAAAAAAAAACGAAAAATTAGAGAATCGAGAAATTGTACAAATCATAAAACTGAAATATTGGAAAATCGAGAAATTAAAGAGATTTCAGATTTCGTTTTGTTAATCATTTTTAACTTCAAGATATCGTATTCAACAACCTTGAGAA